AGCTTTTTGGTTTTGTATCATTTGTCTTAGCTGTCATTTTGTCTCAAGACAAAAACACTCAGCATGCTGCAACTCAATATCCACCAGAAAACTGAGTGTGTGCTTTTCTACTTGTATTTTCTTACCGATTAAAACTGTGGAGCACAAGGGATTTGACTAGATCTGCATAATCTAGTGATAAAGACTAAATAAAAAAACCCCACATAATAAAAATAGTCTAACTTTTCATTGTTTCTGCTGTAAACAACATTAACTACAACCTTTGGTGAGAAGTAGTCTTCTGGAAGTAGGAGGGAAAGAAACCAAATTCAGCTGTGAGAAGAGAGATGAAGAGATAACCAAGAGCTTGGTTACTCTTCATATTTTGACCAGTCTGAAAGAGAGCTTTGAAGCACAACATCACTCTGCTAAGCAACTAAGAAACTGAAAAGACTGGAATTCTTAAATGTTAATGAAAGTATCTTCTTTATCATATTATGCTGAGATCTCCGTTCTACGTCAAAATTAAAAATAAGTATTTACTACAAAAATCCATGTGTCTGTTTTCACAGATGCACCCTAGCAATTTTAAAGCAATTTTTCTATTTTATTGAGCTTTATTCCATTTTTAGTTCATATATCTGATATAGGATTTATCTGCTTTGGAAAAAAATATATACTATGTCAGATTTTCTCAATAGAGTTAACTTACACATTTTCACTGAATTCAGCTCTTTGCTGAATTGGAATCATGCCTCTGAAGGAACCAAACTACAGGAAAATTGCTCTATTTCTTTTCATTGGCAGGGCAAAAGTAGCTGAATGAAACAGCTCTGAAGGACTGCCCAGCACAAAACAGAGCCCACGGGCACATGTGCACATAACGAGATAACAGATAATGGGTTCATGATGTAGAAGCACCCATGGTTTAACAGTGCCTACAGAAGTGAAACAGTAGCTGTCACAGGTGCTCCTGCCCCTTCATTCCACTGGCACACTGGAAGCAAAGAGTGCTGTCTTTGATTGGCCACCACTTTTTAGAGAGGTGGCCAAGTGATTCATCTGTTTTCTTCCTCTGTGTTTGGAGCTGCCTTGCTTGCACGGTGGTTTCCTGGGATATTTGTGGACTCTGCAATCCTGGAGCTTTCATTCTGACTTGTCTCCACCAGGACCTAAAAAGGTTTCAGTCTTCCTGTAAAACATGAACTTGAGAGCACACCTGCAACTTTGTTATAATATCCAGATGTTAACTCTTACCACATGTTAAATGTGAGATGGCTTACTGGGAAAGAAAGCAATAAATGGTGACTTCTTTTTGCAAACCAAAGTGGTGGTATATTAAAAATGGTAAAGTCACTTAAAATAAGTTATCTGCTGTTTTGATGTAGAGTAAGAATTCATTTGTGACAAATAACTACAGAATAGCTTCTGTTTACATCTGCCCCAGCCCTCTTTTATAGAACTAATATCCTCTAATCACTCTATTGTTATTTTAGCAGTCTAAGTTTTAATTGGCATACTCTGACTTTGCAATAAATTTTTATGTAATGAGTTATAGAGGTGTAACTATACTAGAATTTTCCTGCTGGTAGGAAAAGTTTCCTTTTGCTAGGTCAGGCAACTATATTATCACACTGGAAAAAGCCCACTGGTAAAACATCTACCTATTATCCATCAGGTTACAGATTTTGTTACCTTTTTCTTAAGAGCTTTCCCTAATCTAGATAGTTAATGTCAGAGCTAATACAAATGAGCTCATTAAAAACACACAGATAAAGTGAACACTCTTTGAAATAATTTAAAACCTGAGGGGTGTTACAGGTTGCTGGATCTGAGGGTAATGCAAGGTCAGCTCTCCCTTAATTTCTTTTGACTTGTTTCTTCCAGAACAGGATATGATACTATTCTCTCCAATCTCACTTGCCAACAAGGAGATCCAGATAATCCTCAAGCTGCTGAGTCAATATGTGGTTATAGAGAAAAGTATTTCTTAAATATGAGATTGTATGTCCATTGGGAAAGCTCATTTTCAGACTTCTCTCTCAAGCAAAACAAAACGAAACTATTCCTCATAAGTCACATTTTATTAACCTCTAGCTGTTCTTGGTGCTTTCTCTTGACTTCTCTGTTCCTTTCTTAATAATCCTACCGAGGCTGAACACAGAATTGTTTTTCAGGACTCACCAACACACGTTTTCTGCAATAACATAGTTTTTCCAATCTTTCATAGAAGAGACTCAATTTTTATTAGTTACACAGGTAAACCTCCATTTATATTAATTAAAATGATGATTCATTCTCATCCACGGCTTTTTACATCTGTCTGTAATGAATTCCCTATTGTTTTTGAATCACTTCTGATGTACATCCAGTTTGATTTGTGGTTTTGTATTCCAACAGGGTTTGTAAGCCTTTGAAACTCAGTATCATCAGAAATTTTGTAAATGTATCCTCCATTCTGTTATTTAAGCCATGTGTTAACAAATTGGTTGGAACAACAAAAGACTTAGAACCATAGAATTGTATGTTTTTTCCTTCTGTTACAAAATTATGTATTGATTTTCAAAACACACGTATTCCATTTGTAAAGTTACTATTATTATTTTTACCTAGAATTTCCACAGTATCTCTGGAAATTCAGCAGTTGCCTAATGGGATTTCTTCAAGGTCACTTAGATCATCAGGGATTTACCTCACAATGTAGGTTATGGCATCCTCGGTAGCTGTGAAATGGTTCACGTATAATAAGCATAGTCTTCTCATATTTCTGGTACTTTCAATCATTAATGGGATGGGGGAAAAAAATAACAGGTCACATTCTTAGATGAACTGTTTTGTTATATTTCTAATGCCTTGGTCACAGCAAACTGCTAGACAGAATTAGATGTTTGCTGTCTCACATATACAGCTGTCTGTATTTTGATGCCATCAGTTATATGGCAAGTTTTGTTTGCACAAAAAGATAAACACAGCCTACTGATCAGGTATTGTATCATGTAATCAATATGAACTACCCCTCAGCCCAGAGAAAATAACTCATAGAAGATCAAATGGGATCTTCCTGAGGAAAAAATCCAGGAAAAGTATTTTTTAACGAAGTCATGAAAGGCAGACATATGAATTGCCATATCCATTTCAGTTACTGGATTGTGAGGCCCTAGCAAAGACACAAACTTTCCAACCTTGGTATCCAGTGACTGACCTCACAGAAAGCCAGCAGGTCAGAGAGGGATGCTGTGTCACCTTTGCAATCTGATGGCAGTTCATGAAGATTAGGCAGTTCTGGGGTCAGTCTGTCAGATCAGCTTGACTGTGGTATGCATTACTAACTTGAAGGGAGCACTCTGATACTTTGTGGCACTCAGGATATAGAACATATCACGACTTCAGTGCAAATGTTTAAGGAATTGCTTTTCTAAATAAGTTGTAGGATTTTCAAATTGTAGTAGCATAAAAACTTCGGAGGTTATTAAAACATTCACATTCTCAGCACAATATACTTTATTGTGATGTAAAATAAGAGTAAGCAGCAAAGTGTTGTAGTGCTTGTCAAAAACTGTCTCCATATTGTCTGAAGGTACTTTCTCTACAAATTTTATTCTTATACAATTACTTCGTATCTTGTTTGTTTACAGAGTAAGTTGTGCAATGCCCTTCTGCTGCCAGAAAAATTAGAGAATTGTTTTTTTGATGTAAAGCAAGCTCCAGTTCATAAGTATTTGAAATTCTATGATACAGCTATCAAAAACTTGTTTTTCTGTCCAGAATTAATGGTCCAGTTAGTAAATATTCCCGCTACCAGCAGAAATGAGTGTATCTACAGTGCATTTAATTCATTCATTCTTTAATGGATTCATTAAAACATGGTAACTTTAATTCATTAATCGACGTTTATTGTGGGACTTTGATCTCTAGACTAAACCAAACAGTCATACTGTTCCAAGAAGCCAGGCCTCACAAATCTGAGCAGCACTGACTCAAGTAACCAGATATAGTGGGGCAGGCCCAAAGAGAAGCTCTAACAACCCTAGATACAAATGCAAAAGTCATTTCAAAGTGGGTGATTTATGTTATAACAATTAACCTAATCTGATATTACTCTGAGACATTAGGAATAAAACTCCACAGCAGTCTGCCTACTTGCCTCGTCATGACAGCTGGCTCCAAACTTCCCAAAGAAACCAGAAGATGACTCTTAACATTAGTGGCTCTGACTTCCTTTTCACACAGTAATTATTACAATATGCTTTGGTAAATTCACATAATGCATGATTCTTGAATGTCTAAAATTAAATTAAACAGGAGCCTTTCCTAATGTTGTATTACAGGTTGTATTTGTGTTAATCCAAATAGGCATTTTTATGCAGCACAGCTTATTACAACCTATTGAAATGTTTCCTTTCCCTTTTCCCTTTCCTTTTCTATCATACAGTAAGCCAGAGGGAAAGCAAAATCCCACTGGTGGTAGGAATGAAGCCAGCCTTTGCCAACAGTTAAAATACATGGAAGGGTGGCTATGTGCAGAGAGCTATAAGACACCCTAAACTTCAACAGACCAAACAGAACACTTTATGATTGCTCACATATTTACATATGGTGCGGGCCTTAATAACTAAAAGCAATTTCTGAAGTGTGCAGAACTCAAAATGCAGAAATTGCTAAGAAATCTAGCAGCAGCAGCAGCTTCTGGGTGAAACAGCCTTAGTCAGCTGGTTTCAAGCACTTCACACAACAACACCCCTACCACCCCAGGAAAAAACCCTGAACGGGAACTCCGGACAAACGCTGATCTGGCAAAGGCAGTGCTGGAGTGCCCTCCGCTGGCACAGCTCAGGCAGGGGACAGAGGGTTGCTCCTCTACAGTCTGAAGGGAAGGAGGCTGAGAGAAGGAGACCAAAATCTTAATATTTGAGCGAACGCTGAGAAAAAGCCAGAGTGTTTGGATCACGTGGGTTTCTTGATCCTTCACTATTCATGTATGACAGAGCATCTGGAAGAGCAACTCTTAAAAACCTACTCACTATTTTACATAGGCATGGGCAGAACATGTATTCTTTGTCTCCTTCAGCATCTCTTTGATGTGAAATTTCAGCTGGTCAGAAAATCCCTAGAAAAGAAAATAAATAAAGAAAGTTTTCTTGTCTTATCAAAATTATATTTAAAAGTAGATAATGAATGATAATGAATGTCTTTTTAAATAGTCTATTTATAGAGAAAGAAAGAAAGCTGAGAAATCAAATTACTTAACTGCTTGTGTTCATACAGAGATCACAGGCAGAATCAGGACAATGAGAAAACACAGAAAATATTTTCAAATAGTGAACAATATCTCGTCTTTTCTAGGTACCAGCAGTGTAAAAAAATTGGCTTTTGCTTCACATCAACCTATGTGTATTTCACTTATACTTAGAAAATTATACAGCACATGCATAGCACAGGGTCCAGTGCATGAAACCATGAAACAAGTAGAGACAGAACTAGTCACTCAACCTGTCATGCAGCCTCATTTGTCACTGCTCCTTTTCAGCACCCTAATAAAACATGCATTTGTGACTCATCTTATTGCATAATCTTCTGTCATTAACTACCATTGTCCCAAGCTTCCTCCTCAAAGCTGATCCAGTGTGATTTCTCATCTCTTTCTCTTTTGTCTCCTCCCACCCTTACACAGTGCCCTGAGGACTACCCCTTGTGTTTATCAAGAGGTAGACTACTTTTGTGCCCCAAATCACCAAGTTTTGTTCTAGCAGTGTATGCTGTCAGGAGACAAGTACTAAACAGCTTAAAAACAGCTACCTTGAGAGCTGTGTCCAGCTCAGGGCCCCTCACTACAAGAAGGACATTGAGGTGCTGGAGCATCTCGGAGAAGGGTAACAGGGCAGGTGAAGGGTCTGGAGCACAAGTCCTCTGAGGAGTGGCTGAGGGAGCTGGGGATGTTTATCCTGGATAAGAGGAGGCTCAGGAGTGACCTTGTGGCTCTCAACAACTGCCTTGAAAGGAGGATGTGTAGCGAGGGGGGGGTCTGCACCTTCTACCAGGTAACAAGTGACAGGATGAAAGGAAATGGCCTCAAGCACCAGAGAAAGTTTAGATTGGCTAAAGGAAGAATTTCCTCAGTGAAAGAGTGGTCAGGCATTGGAACAAGCTGTCCAGTGAAGCGGTGGAGTCACCATTCCTGGAAGCATTAAAAAAAGTAGCTGTGGACGTGAGGACATGGTTTAGTGGTAGACTTAGTGGTGTTAAGGTAATGGTTAGACTTGATCTGAAGCGTCTTTTCCAGCTTAAATGGTTCAGTAATTCTATGATTTCATTATTTGAAATTTGTCCAATAATGGACCTGTCTGGCATCCTCTTGGAGGGCACTTTCCAGAAGCATCCAAGACATCCCAACAACAAAAGGGAACAACACACTCAGAGCAGTGTAGTTAAATATAATAATAGAATCTGGAATGTCTCAAATTGGAAGGAATCCATAAGGATGAACAGGTCCAATTCCTACCTCCTTGCAGTAAACCGTATGACTAAAAGTATTATCCAAAAGCTCCTTGAACTCTGACAGGCTGGCTGTGACTGACTAAAGAGAAAAGTTTCTTTTCAGAAACTGAAAGAAGCCTATTGCAAAGGTCTTGTAACAAAGAAGTTCCATACAACAGCTAAGAAAATGAGGTGCTCTGTGCTCTTGATGTCTTGACTGCTCACCTTTTAAAAGGGAAAATCTGACTATACAAGTATCTGTAGGGGCATTTTGTACTCTCAAGACAATTTCTGATTTAAAAATAGGTTATGTGCAATTATAGGTGATTTTTTTTCCTGCTGCTGCAAGGAAGCTGATAATTGTTGTAAAATATCCACAGAGAACCTGAACCCAAATTGTATTGGATATGCATGCAAATTTGAGTGATCCTTGGATATGGCAAAGTAGGAACTCCCAGTCATGTTCTTTCCTTAAAAAACAGATTGGGTTTTACTTGTTAAATTTTTTGTGATTTCCTTTATCAGTGATTTTCTTTCATGGGATATATATTAAAAAGGATATATATATATATATATATATATATATATGAAGCATATATATCTCTTTCTAACAATCAAACCACTGTACTGATGCTATTTCTGGACCTGCAACTTTTCCAATTTATAATACATTTATACCAAATATATGTAGCACGAATGCCACATTTAAGCCTGTTTCCTTGAGATGTCAGGAAAAAAAATGTGTCTTCTCAGAATTAATGTTGGTATTCAGTAGGGAGCAAAGGGATGGATATATCCTAAGTGGAGTTACCTGAAAGGTTTATTGTTAAATCATTGAATACAGGAAAAGTGAGATCCCAGTTCCTGATTCTTCGAAGCACAGACCACAACCAGAGCCAGTGTTTATCTCCTTCTTTTAACAGGGATTGGTAACATCTCAACTATATAATTTTACAATTTCTGTAGTGACACTGCAGGTGTGGTTGCAGGTCAGTCAAAAACATACCTCACAGCATTATCGGGCCGGGCCGGGCCGGGCCGGGCCGGGCCGGGCCGGGAAGGGAAGGGAAGGGAAGGGAAGGGAAGGGAAGGGAAGGGAAGGGAAGGGAAGGGAAGGGAAGGGAAGGGAAGGGAAGGGAAGGGAAGGGAAGGGAAGGGAAGGGAAGGGAAGGGAAGGGAAGGGAAGGGAAGGGAAGGGAAGGGAAGGGAAGGGAAGGGGGTTGGTTCGGCCCACCGGGAGGGGCTTGGCGGCGGAGTGGAAGTGACCTCACTCCCGGGACAGCGCTGGAGCACCGGCGGCCAGTGCGGCGCGCCTTGCGAGCAGCCAATGGCAGGAGCGGTGCCGCTTGTTGTCGCCCCGTGAGGCGGCTGCGCCCTGGGCTCGGTGCCGCCGCCGCCGCCGCCGCCGCAGGAGGGACCCGGGAGGCGCCAGGCCCCGGTACCCGCTCGCCTCTCGCCGGCCCCGCAGCCCCCGCGGAGGGCGGGGAGATGCAGCCCCCGGGCGCTCAGCAGCCGCCGCTCTACGCGCCCAGCAGCGGGGACTTCACCTTCGTCTCCTCGGCGGACGCCGAAGGTGAGCGCGGGGCGGCGGGCAGGGCCGCACTCGCTGTCCCGCGGCACGGCTCGGCCGGGCCGGGGGGAACGGGCTGTTCCGGGCCGCAGAGACAGGAGGGGCCTTCCTTGCGCTCCGTCCCGCCGCCCCCGCGGCTGGCGTCGTGGCCGGGGGCGGAGCGGGGTGGTGGCCGCTGCCCTGGGGCCGCTGCTGCGGGCGCTGCCGTGGCCGCGTCACGGAGCAGCAGCAGCGTGGCAGAGGCGGCCGTGCCGCTCCGCTTCCCCGCGGCTCCGAAAGCCGGAGCCGAGGTTGTCCCGGCTGCGGGACATAACCGTGACCGCTGTCACTGCCCGCTCCTCTGGCTCCCGTGTTTCTGGCAGCCCACTTTGTTGTCTTACTGGAGATTGTGTCGTATGTTCACGTTTGCTGTAATGTGCCAAAGTGTCTGCGCCGTGTCTCATAGCGGCACAGTCATGAAGAAGAAAAAAGAGGCCATGTATGTAATTTAGGGGGTGAAGTGTGGCCTGCTGCCAAAGTGCTGCACAAAGAGCAGTGGTATGCCAACATGCCGTGAAGATGTGCCTTCGAACTTTAAAACTGAACATACAGTAGTCAACGTCGTGCAAACTTACTTTGTTGGAGAATGATTTTTTGGTCTCTCCCCATTTAAATAACAAGGATTCTACTTTCATGTATGTGTTTAGTTACTCTTAAAATTGTGACTAGGGAATCATAAATACTTACTCATGTGTCCCACCCTGGAAAGGAATTGCTGAAGTGGAGAAATTGCTGTAGAATACCTGTCCTTTAGTGAACTTCACAGTTCTTCTGAAAGGAAATACAAGTCAACAGTACTGTCATGGCTGTGGGTTTTTTTGTTGCTGGGTTTTGGTTTTTTTTGCTGGTTAGTTTTCCTTTACGTTGTTTTTTCTTCTTCACCTTGGCCTGAAAAAGGATCCATGTACCTCTGAGCAGAAGCTCTCTGCTTCTTCTGGAAGTATTTGTTGGGCAATGCTGAACCCAATCCAGTAAAACCATCTTTCTGTTAGGTTGTGTTGTGTGACCAGTGTAGCCTGTAGTCACATTCGGCTGTGTGTTTTTTATGAACACAAGCAAGGTGTGATCTCCTGTGTGTGTGAGTGTAGTCCTGTCCTCAGAGTGCTGGATAGACCTACCCTAGCAAAGAAAAACATAAGCAAAATTAAACATCTTGATATTTTAAAATTAAAGTACTATGCATTGCACTCTAATTTTTACATGTTTCCCAAAACTCAATCTATATGAAAAAATAAAAATAAGCTGTACTGGTACCCCATCTTATTTCTGTGGGAGCTGTATGGAAGAAAGCTGGAGAGATGTTCACAATTAGGTCACCAGACATAGTGGAAAGATCACTCTGTTTGGAGTTTTGCCTCTTGTACTGCTTTTTTAAAATTAAGAGTCAAGACTGTTGTGAAAGCTGGTTTTCTACAATACTTTGTTGAAATGAGGTATCTGAGAGACTTTGGTTTTGCTTCTGTTGTGTTCAGCCTGAGACAGTAGCAGTGAAGGCACCCAGACTCTCCCTAGGAACCATCAATGTCATCAGTTCTTGGCAGATTTTCCAGTTGCCCTGCAGTTAAAAATCTCATTCAAAGCAGCCTGCAGAAGAGAAAAATCCCTTTTCCCCTAGGTTTCTGCAACTTTTGTCTTGCAAAACAGACTTAAGATCATGTTAATAGATTTTATAATTCAAAGTGTGGTTGCAGGTATTCATCAACTGCTAAAAGAAGTCTTGGTAAATACAACTTCTGTAGGAGTTTCCGTGCCTCAAGATGTGTTCTCAGTGGTCCCTGAGAAAGGAGAAATACATGGCTGGTTGGACTGCTATGTTGGCTTCTTTTGACAGCTGCAGTTACACATAGAGTAGCACTCTTTGCAAAAAAAAGTGTTACCTTGTAGCATAAACAAATATTACTTAATTACATAAGGGTCCCTCAATCAAGAGAAAACTTCTGAGGCTTGATGCCCAGGCATTAAGATTTTTCTTTTTCTTTTTTCCTTCCTCTGTAAACAGCAGAGGGAGGCTTTGCTTAAGTCTGGTGAGAACAGTGTATGTGTGCTGGGACTGGGAAGAGCAAGGAGAAATTCCTGCTTTAAGTTACAGTGATCTTTACCAAGGTCCTGTGCAGATGGTGTTCCAAGAATCAAAGGAATGGATCAGTAACTCTCAGGATTATGAAGTAGTTGAAAAGCATTTGTGGAGGAGATTGAATCTAAGTGGCCTAGCAAGCTGGTCTGGGAAGGAGAATTCTGTTGAATTAAGTGGGATACTGAATGATTGGTGAACACTTGAGACATGTTGGCTGAACAGATTGAGATTCTGTCACTGTACAAATTTTGTTTAAATAACACTGTAATATTTCCAAAGAGGATGTTGCAAATGTAATCTACAAATATGGCCTGATGTGCCTCTGTGAGTGTTTCAGAAGTACTTGCTATAGTTAGGTGTTTTGGGAAATTTGTGCTGAGGAACTTTTATGTGTGCAAAACACACAATGATGATAAGGCAAAATATATTTTCTTTACCTCCCAATATATTTATACTAAGCTTGTACAAAATATTGACACATTTCTGTTTGGATTTTTCCTTCTTAGCAGATAATGGAAATCCATTGTTTCCTAAAGGAATAATTACTCCCTTCTTAATGTATTTTTTTCTTTCATCAAGTTGCTTAATTTATTTTCCTATACTATTTTTGATTTTCCATCTATATGTAACTGAATAAAATGAGAAAAAAAATTAATACTTACTGGCAATTTTGCCAAGACCAACCAGAACATAGATAAATTGCTCTTTGTTTTGCTTAGTACTGTGGTAGAAAAAGATCATAGTATATCAAAAAGATGTTGTATAACTGTATAACAATTTATTTTCTAGAGCTTAAGGATCCCTGATAGCATTCTTTCTCTAACATTTTCACCTGCATTGAAGGCGGGCTACGAATTAAAACATCTTCAAATGTTTTCCTTTTATGAAAAATTTGACATGAAAGCAGAGAGTGGTTTTGGCTGAAACAATGCCACTGTTAAAAAATGGGTGCCAAAAGAGGTAGAGTATGATCAGAAAAAAAATTATAAATAATCCACAATTTATAGCACGGTGAGACTCTCATTAGTGTCCTCCTTTTATGCCTTTAAACACTTAATGAGAAAGCACAAATTGAAGCCTTTCTGTTGTGCTACAATACTTGTCATAAAGCAAGAATCCCATCTAAAAGCTAAAACCTGGTATTTGAGACCTAACCCAACATAGTTACTATTGCAATAAAAGCACAAGTACACTTTCAAATTATGTATCTGTGAAAGAATAATTTTATTTTGTAACTTTGAATGTTTTATGGGCATGACCAACACATGTAGCTTCATATGTTTGTTGTTTATCTTCCAGTACCTTTAAAATCAAATGGCTTTTGGCAAAACATAAAAAGGTCTGTATTTTTCTCCCTTTTTCTTTAGATCTTAGTGGTTCCATAGCAACTCCAGATGTTAAGCTGAATCTTGGAGGAGAATTCATCAAAGAATCTACTGCAACTACATTCCTAAGACAGAGAGGATATGGCTGGCTTCTGGAAGTGGAAGATGATGACCCAGAAGATAACAAGCCACTTTTGTATGTTGTAATTATTTTTGGTTATCTGTCTTTATTAGCTGTGTAGGCAAAAAAAAACCATCTTGAAGTCTCTGATTGTCCCACAGTCTTGTCCTATGACTGGAATTCTGTTTGACAAATTACTTGACCAATGAGTGTTTTCTGGTGCAAGAAGAGAAACATCGTGTCTTATTATAGATTTTAATCTCTGTAAGTATAAAGCCTATATGACTTTTCTGCTTTTAATTGCTGAATCTTGTAATGGCTTTAAAAAAAGAGACTGTATTCTTTGTATCTTTTGCATTCATGTTTCTTGATACTGTGAAAGAATCAAAGACTAAAACACCCCCATGGGAAAGGTCCTGTTAAGTAAATCTCAGTCATTTCTGTCAGTTATTCTGAAGCAAAAGCATTGTGAATCATGGTTTTTACAGTAGGGATGTTAGAACCAAGGTAGCACAAACTTCATAATCTTTGATGCTGCCTTTTACTATAAAGCTAGATTAAAAAGGCGCTAGTGCTGAAGGAAAGTAATGTCCTTAAAACTGGAAGACTTGCATCCATTATTCTGTTTATAGAAACCTGGCTGGCTGAAGAAAGTTTGTATCTCAAGGTTATTACATTGTGAGTCAGGCAGCCTGGTCCTTGTTCTGCACCTAAGCAATTTCGTTCTCACTGTCTCAATGTTTTTTTGTGAATTAAACATAATGATGCTTTAAAAAATTGGAGTGAGACAGAGAGTACTCTGTAGAACTCAGATGAGAGTGTTGGGAGACAACAGATGTCTGGAGAGCCTAATAATGACAGTGCTACTTGAGAACTGGTTTAAATTAAAGTGAGCGGAAGTAGGTCCTTGTTTGGTGAACCTCTAACTTTTAATTAAGAAACAAACTGGTATAGTGAGGTGACAACATAGGAATTCTGACTTCAGTGTAATTTTGTTGTTTTGATTATTCCCAAAAATGTGTCATAATGAATTCTTACAATCTGAATCCTATTAAGGATTGAAAGAACAGCAGCCTGCTAAGGGAAGTTCACCAACGCAGTGCTACAGTGCTAGTGTTTTGTTCAATTAAGTGAGATTATAATTTTTTTACTTTCTCATTGGGCAGCCTTACTTCAGACACTTGTTTGCTGATACACCTACCATCATTTTCAGGTGAGGTAGCTGTCAGCTTCATGCAAAAGACAACTTATTCACATGAGAAGCTTTCAGAAGACCTTGAGAATTAGAAATAATTATTTCCATGCAGGAAATACTTGTGTTACACAGTCTACAGGGTAAAGTATAGGTCTGCTACATCCTTTTGGATGGTGGCAAATAGATGCTTCTAGTCTGTTCCTTAGATTCAGGGATGGTTAAATAACAATTTTTATTACTTAGTCACCAGTTAGTAATACTGCTTATGAAGTAACTTTAGTAATAGTAATCCAAAAATTGCCTTGAGTGATTGAGTTAACAGTATTTAATTTTTTTTAAACAGAAATTGTGATATATCTTTGCATATTTTTCTCACATTGCTTTTCTGAAGAAAAAGCAAAAAAACCAAAGCCTTGGACAAAACTTTCATAAATAGACTTAGGATATAATTCTACATTTTTCGTCACTGTTTTCTTAAATGTAGAACAGTATATCTGCTGGGAGTCTCTCAACTCTTCAGAGTTCCTCAGTCATGACTGAGGTTCTGCACATAAAGAAGTGGAATTGCCCATTACTTGAGATGTCTGATTCCTTCCTTATTAGGCTAATACAGACAGTCAGGGCAGCATGTACCAGCCCAGAGTCCTGGGCAGAAGAATCTTCTGGCCAATTTGTATCTGCTTGCAGGGAGTTTCTAACAGGATGTAGAGAAGGCAATGAGAGAAGGGCAAAAATGTGTTGATACATGTTGCTGCTAGTTCAAGTGAATTCTATTTGTTTTACCCTTAGTGGACACAAGCCAGAAATTAAACAACAGGCATAAACTGGTCTGTTGAAAACTACTGTTCTTGAAGGAAGCTAAACTCCATTTTCTTTTAAAAAATTGGTATTTGGAATGGTTTAAGATTAGTAAATGTAATGGTATTCTTTCCTGCAGAATTTGAAATAAAATATTTTCATAGAAAGTGTCCTTATGGCAAACTGCTTGACATAGGAATACACAGACATTGTTTATGTGTGCATGTTTTTTGACTTGTAGTTACAATGACACAAGTGTATCACATGTCCTAGTGTGTCTGAAAAAAAACTCCTTCTATCTTAATGCAGACTCTCAGGGTATCACAGAATCATAGAATGGTTTGGGTTGGAAGTGAGCTTAAAGATCATCCAATTCCACCCCCCTTGTGTTGGGCAGGGACACCTTTCACCAGTCCAAGTTACTCAGAGCCCCATCCAGCCTGGTCTGGGTATGCTGTATATGTTTTCTATTGACAGTCATATAATTTGTTTTTGAGTAATTAAATAAATCTAACTGTGTCCCACCAGTTACTGAATGCAGCATGAAGCTATGGTGTTGCTTGACTGTGGATAAACTGTTCCTTTGCTCGTTGTGGCTTCAGAAGGCCATGTGGCTGACAGGAGACTTGCTCTATAAATCTACTGTTTGCCCCTATACTTATATATTTTTTAGCTCTAGTTCATTACTGTGGTGTATAGTAATGCTTACTTGCTTTACAATTTCAGGGAAGAACTCGACATTGATCTGAAGGATATTTACTACAAAATTCGATGTGTGTTGATGCCTATGCCATCTCTTGGGTTCAATAGGCAGGTAGTGAGAGACAATCCAGACTTTTGGGGTCCTCTGGCAGTTGTCCTCTTCTTCTCAATGATTTCATTATATGGACAATTTAAGGTAGGTATAAATCTTCTGCCTAAAAAGAAACCTGAACTAAATTTGGGGATGTGATTGCTAAGCAATTTGCATTCTTACGTAGGTAGAAAGTCTTTTTTTCACATACTAATGTGGGGCATTTCAAGTGCTGTTTCCCAAGTTAATATGTAGAAAGACAGCAGTTAGGAATGTATTACATGGCCCACGGGTAAGTTAATCATGATGAAATGTCAAGTTTGTTTTTATACAGTAAAACAAAGGAAAGATGTGGTTTCTAGAGGAACCAGATTGATACTAATGGGTTTATAGTCATATTAGTGAATCTTTCAATTTTAATTGTGATCTTTCATTAACTTGCTTTTTATTACCAAAAAATGTTAGTGAAAAGCATTTGTTTGGATGGCATGAATTCTAATTTCCTCACAAATAAAGATGCTTATTTAATTCATACTATATGACTGTTGTTATCTGGCATCTTTAATCTTCATTAGTGATGTTTGCGATTTTGTCCTCCCTGCTCAGTTGCAATCAAATAACTTTCCTTTAGTCAATAGACTTTTTCCATCATTCCTTTTGAACACCAGAGTGAATAGCTACTCAGCAGCATTGTGCATATTTGACTTCCATAAACACTATTAGCTTTTTTCTTTATGTTCTGATTAAAATAAAGAAGTGTTATCATTTATAGTAACAATTTGTATGTAAGCCTAGGTGCTCCTACATTGGAAATCTTTATGACTAAATGTGTGGTTACAGTTCTTTTAAATGTCACCAAGTATGGCAATAAGCTGTATGTAAACCAGCAGAATGTGCATATGCAAGGATTCTTGTGAATGGTGGGATAAAATCATTTTCTTTGGGTCCTCTGGCTTCCATATGACGTACCAAATGTGTAAGAATTCACTCTCACTTGTCTCTATGAGGCTTGAAATGGGTAGACTAAACCACTTTATTGTTCAAATCTTCTGGGTGGAGCACTGAACTGTCTCCTTGGCAAAGGAGGGATCATTTCTTGACCCTGCGACAGATGAACCACCTCTTGCAGTTTGTGTACCTCCTGTACAGGAGCACTGTGTCTAATGTTTCTTAGGAGCAGTGGGTTTACCATATGGATGCAGGAGTGCTGTATATATATGAGATGGGAAAGCTAGCAGCCAGCAACAGGATGACTGACAGCAGCTGGACTAGACAAACCCAAAGGTGGGCTCTAAACTGGAGAGAGATGAGCACTTCTGCTCTAAGACTTTAATCTGGTCCTCTTCTTTTAGTCACTGGAGGAAAACAGGAAGTAAAAAGAGGCTATGTGCTATTTCCACAAATAGCATAAAGCCACTTATATTGTTTTTAGTGCTGCTGTGATTTTTATCTGGTTTCTCCTATTTCATTCTCCTGGAAATATTGAACTTCTAATTAAGCAAAGTATTGAACTGAGTACTGACTTAATTTTTGAAGTTCAGTCATTGTATATTTGGAAATAGAGAGACTGGACTTAGACTGTTGTTTCCTTCTAAAAAGGCATTTCAGAAAGGAGAGCTTTACTTCTGGCCCTCCCAGTGGCTCAACACCAAAACCAGCTACGTTAAGTTGAAGGATTTTTTAAGCCAGAGAATGATTTTAGGATTTCTTCTGTAGTTTGAGAGCAGAACCATGAAAGAAGCAAGAAAAAATAATGATAGACTTGGTCCCAGGAGTCTGAGGCTCTTTATTTAAAGTTATCATCATCATCATCATCAAGTTCGACTGAGAATTAAAGTCCTATGTCTTCTGAACGTTCTCAGTTTGAGTAAAAGATAAAGTGGCATCTTTATAAGTGAAAGAAGGAGAATTCCAACTCCTTATATTGGTTGGGCTGACTTTTAAAAACTGTCTGAGCCCATATTTTGTAATAGGTGGGATATGAAGACATTTAGGGTAGTTTTAACTCAACTTCCTATTCCTGTTACCATACTTACAGAATACATTGCATGTGCGTTCCATGTACACCAAAGTTACCATTAATGTGATTCTGTAATCGTAACTTCTGAACTTCATTTGCTAATTACACTGTGATACTAAACACTATTCTTACCACAATTCAGAATTCAGTTTTGCTTAATAAAATCCTTGACTGCAGTGAAAGCAATTATGGAAATGCATTTTCCTTTTTCACAATGACATTTACTAATATAAATGAATTGTTCTTTATCTCTCAAGGTTGTTTCTTGGATCATAACTATTTGGATATTTGGATCCTTAACAATTTTTTTACTGGCCAGAGTTCTTGGAGGAGAAGTAAGTACCTGTATGTGAAAAGGATGTAGAGGGAGGTAATGTAAAGTCTCCTGACAATGTTTTTCAGCAGTAGTTGGGTTTTTGTAGTGCTTGGGTTTGGATCTTGTAGCCAGCTAGGAACAAATGCAGTTGCTAAGTATAAAGTCAACATTTCAGGTTTTCAGTCTCCAAAATGAAGTCTAAAATATACAGATCATCTAACTAATTTTATTGGTGCAATGGATCCATTGCAGATAAACAGCCTGGAAATTTGTGCTGTGAATCCCAGGAATTCTAGCAGCTTCATGTGATCCAGAACTGAAGTCCATTATTGAGAGAGAAATGCTTTCAAGTTTTTGGTCACTGGACTAAATGGAAACTTTTTTTTTTTTTTTTTTTTTTTTTTTTTTTTTAATGTGGTGTTAACAGCAGTTAGATGTCCTTGTGTGTAGAGCACATGCTAGTGTTTGTTTTCATCCCTGGCTTGATGCAGTTCAAACCCATCAAAGTATGAAAGCCATGGCATGTTTCTCAACTGCAAAGCCAGCTGGAGTTGTGGCCTGCATCCTTTCCTCCAGCTGCTTGCAGCAGCAGGGTTGGAATAGCTGCTTGAGCTGTTTACAAATTGACTCATTAAGCAATGCAGGTGTAAACAACAAAAAATGACTTAGAGCAAGGCCCACAGACAGCTGCAGTGAAACAGTCAGGAGGATAAAACTTCTTTAAATGGATCTGCAGCATAAAATGCATTGAACTGTGTTGTGAAGAACTAAATACTCTGTGATGCTTTATTTTTATACTTTTACTATGGACATTGCATTAATGATGCACCAGTGTTGCAGAGGTCCGATGTTATGTAGTTTAATTTTTAAAAGTTTACCTTTAAATCATAATTGCTAGAGTCTTCTTTTGTGAATGCTGTTTTGAAATAAAAAGTTTTTTATAAATGTGATTACATTGTATTTCTGCATTTCAACACAATCCAGAGGCCCTTCAAGCAATCTGGTTTGTGGCTCAAAATGGGAAATTATCAGATGTATAAACTGAAGAAAAAAAAGTATAGGTTTGCAGATCTTGTCATAAAGGATCATGATCCGCAAGAAAATGCTTACAAGATGCCACTAATTTTCCTGTTAAATCCAAGAAACCTAGCTGTGCACAGGAATATTTCAGATCATAGTAGGGGAAAATCAGACATTTCCTTCTGAAGCTAAAAGTAGTTATGCATGTAGTTGGAACAATTCTGTTCAAGACAGTCACAATAAATTGAAGCTGGAAATCAGAATTCTGTGCCTTACAGGGATCAAGTTTTAACTCTTCCGCTGACACTAAAACATTCACGTGCTTTATGTATCTATTTATGTATAATGGATATGAGTATGTTAATGCAGAAAATTATGTCTTTGCTGCTTTTGACAACCAGGACTACAGCTGGTCCTTGAGAGGTCTGTTGCAGTTCTGTGCTTTGGGTATCATATGTAAATGATTCCTTTGAAAGTGATAGTTTACAGTTTTATGGGGAAAAAAAAAAAACAACCTATTTCTAATTTTAGGGTTTAGCATACAAAAACAATTTTTATCCTAACAAGCCTCCTTTAGCTGAAGTTTCATGACTATAACACATTATAATCATTATTCATACTGTTATAAGAAGAACAAATTGTATTTTGTGACAGAGATTGAGTGCTGCAAAGCTTGTTTTTATGTGCTTGACAATTTCAGGTTGCTTATGGCCAAGTTCTGGGTGTAATAGGATATTCCCTGCTTCCCCTCATTGTCATAGCACCTGTACTTTTGGTGGTTGGATCATTTGAAGTTGTTTCTACCCTAATAAAAGTAAGTTCATATCATCTATTGAGAATTCAGTTATTTTTAAGTCACTTTCTTAACACTTCAAGTAATCTGCTCAGGGAAACATAATGATGTGTCAAAACTTTCAGAATTACAAAGTGAGCTCTGTGATCCTTTTGGTTAGCATGGTGGAAAGTGAATGCAGTTTTAAGTGCTCCATTAGAGTGCTTGGGAATATACAGTGATGTTGCTATAACAACACATGTTGTTACTAGAGTAGCTTGTATTTAAGTATTTTGCTGTGCTCTAATAGTTGCAGTACAAAAAAGATGGGATTCTCATTTTGAGAAGAGAATGCATAATTAAACCTCAAAATGAAGAATCTGAAAATAAGCTGTTCTCTCCCTTCCCCCATCATCCAGATTATTTTTTGTCACTGCAGCATGAATATGTTAGTCATTGTTCTGAGACCTCCCCATAGTGGTAGCAGTACAAAGCTCTCCACACCCTTTGCAGAGAAGGTAAGGATTTTTCTGATCTAGAGAGGGGGAATGTAAGGCACAAAGAATAACCTGCCTAATACCACCTGCTGCTGGGAACTTTTTGTGGAACCAGCAGCTTTCCCTAAAAGATCCCAGAAGGACATAACACTCTTGAACACTTCCAGTGCTTCTTAAAACCCTTTTAGGTAGTCTTTGAAGTTACTGCTGAACCTGGGAAGGTTAACTGATAAAATTCTGTTGCAAGCTAGCTGTACACTTTCTGGAGGTTTGTTCTGATGCTTTCATTATTTCTGTTCCTTTAGCTTGCTGGCAAACAGTATAATTGAAGTACAAGCAGAGTGTATGATAAGTAACAAAATTGCTGTATTTGAGATTTGATAATCTGTGATTACTGATAAATGATAGGCAGAACGTAAATCATTAACTTGCCAGTTAACTAATAAATAACTTCAAAATAAATACACATTCATGAAACCTCTGTTACTTGATTACTACTATACTACTAACAGCCTTATGTTAACTTCAGGGTGAATTTCTGCAAGGTTCTTATCTTTGCACCACCAGAATGAAAATGCATTACAAGCCCCACATGGCCAAAACTTCTTGGGCTGTGACAAGCACTACTTCCGTAGCTGGCTCTGTGTTATACTGAGAGAAGTGATTTTTACTGTAGTATTTGGAGAGACTTTCTTGTGGTGTCAGCTAAGACTGTTCATCTTCTTTTTCAGTTGTTTGGAGTCTTTTGGGCTGCATACAGTGCTGCATCATTACTAGTTGGAGAAGAATTCAAGACCAAGAAACCCCTTCTAATTTATCCAATCTTTTTATTATACATTTATTTTTTGTCCTTGTATACTGGGGTGTGATGTAGTGTAAGATGTGGCCAGAAACCATATTTCAGTCACTTGCAGACTGATAATGAGTAAGATTAAGAAAGCTGGAGATAATACAAGTGACTGTTTTGTATGCAGTTGTCGAGATGTTTTAAGATGAAAGAGCATATTTGTGTATATTATTTAATGAAGCAATTGTAGCTATATAGATTTGTATCAAAGTTCTAGGTTTGTTTAAGACTCTTCAGATTTTAATGAACAAAATAAAAGAACTTTGTGTTTTATAACAAAGCGTAGCAAAACTGCAACTCAATACCTGTGCCAAAAGCACTGGGACCAGATTACTATATTCAAGAATTAAAAATGAGAAGTTAACTGTTAACAATCTCAAAGTGCAATTTTTCCTTTAAGCTTAAACACAGCTGGCTTTTTGTGGCACAGCAAATTCTGTAGATAATATATATTTATGAAACAGTCCTGATTGTTCACAGAATAGTCTGTATAATCAAGACAGAAATATACTACTTTTAATTTAGTGCCTCAATTACTGTGATTTGGCTGTTGAGTTTTTATAAATTCCAATTTGTTTTCAAAACATGTATATACTGTGTATTTTGTATCTATGGCTTGTATGTACCGTAAATACTCCTTGGTTAAGGATGTATATTGGGTTTTTAAAAATTGAAGATACAAGTATTTGAAATTTTCATTTACTATCTTTGACCAAAGGAGCAAGATACTTACTGTGTGACATAATTAATTAAAGTGCATATTTAGAGAATCAAATTATTTTACTTAAAAGTATAAATTTACAGAGAAATGGGTGAACACCTTTCTCAACTCTAGTGCTGGCCTAATGTTGGGGAAAAAAGATGATCTATAAAATTTGTGTGATCTTCAAACAATGTTATTTTATGATGACAAAATAAAAATATTGCTTCCCTAACTATGTTTTACAACATCTTGCTCTGTTTTGCTTTTAATTGCATGCTATTTAACATGCATTCTTTTTTTTTTTTTTTTTTTTTTGGCCAATATTAAACCCTTGTGAAAAGAAGTAAGAAAGATTTGGAAGGCCAGATTCTCCCTCCACTAAACAAGACAGAGTTATAGCCTTAGTAACAGTTAGAGTCTTGCTAATTTTGACTCTCCAAGGATTATGTAATAATGTGATGACATGTTAAATATTTCCTGTGTACTGTGTTGATTGCTTATATAATGGTCCTTATGGTAATATTTCTTCACGAGGGAAGTCCACTGAAGTTGACTTTGTATGGTACTAACGTTGGCATTTGCAATCTTCAGGATTTAGTATCAACAAATAGCTCTGAAGGTTTGGAGTTTTTTTTCTGGCAACAGAAAAAAAGCATTTCCCATTCTCCCCGCCCCCTCCCCCATCCTTTTTTTCTAATGCTACAAATAAAACTCAGCCATGACAAGGTAATAGCAAGGGCTGTCTTGAATCCCTGATGGACATACTTCCATATCAGAACTGTAGTTTTTCAGCTTTTTAGACTGTGTAACTAGCCAGGTTGGTAACTTATTTTTACCAGTCATTACTGATGCAAAATACGTAATTAAATTCCGGCTCTCCCACAAACCTTTAGCTTACTCAGTCTGCTTTCCTGGCCGATTCTTGTGTTGGTTTTAAATAGAACCACTTGAAGTCAGTGCTGGACATAAATTGTAGTGTAATACTTGAGTTTGTAATATATAAAAATAGAAAAATTGGTAGAGTGATTGACTTTTCCCTGATTTTTGATTTCTGAATAAATTGTGGTGGGATTAATGCAAACATGTACTAAATCAATTTATATCAGCAGCAGCTAATTTCTTACCTACAAGTGTTTTGAGAGCATTCATACCACATTCTAAAAAAAATAAAAGGAAGTTACAGTATATTTTTAAAAAAGCATATTAGCTTTGGAATCTTGCATGATAATCTGGTTTTACCTCCTTTTTCATTACTTATATTTCTTGTTTTAACAGGAATATCCAGCTATTAGTATAAGACTGCACCTAGCCCCTGTGAATGCATTTAATTCCTGTCCCCACAAAGGTGAAGGGCATTTAGGTTACTAGGCTGTCAGACAGCTTTAAGCTTAGTACCTCTTTCATAGTTGTTCATGAGGTGTTCTGTGCATCTGAACTGACTATGCATATTGAAAGATGCAAACATGTTCTATTGAATCCCCAAATACCTCCCTTTTCTGTAATGTTCTGTGAAATTTATAGTTGGAATTTTAACTATTCCCTTCCACAGACTTGGCACATGTGTAATATGCAATGTAGATAATGCACTTAAGATAGTACATATTTTGTACCCAATTGCAAATTTGCACCTTTTAATGTTAGTATCTTTAGGGTCACTTTTTGCATATATTGTGCAAGAAACATACAAGCAGCTCTCAAATTATTCTGATAGTTTGTAATAACTTTGCATTCAACAAACTCATATTTTTAGATGAGATATGTGTGTAAATACAAGATGTATTTTATAAAAATTTTGAATTAAACTTGTTTACAGAATGTATGAAGCTCATTTATATTTACTGACTTAATACTGAATAATTAATATTGATGATTTAAGACACATCCATCTTCCTGTGCATGCCACCAGTATATTGATGCTATATACCAATAGCTTTGAGGCTATAAGTAAGTTTTTGTGATAATCAACATACTACTTTAGTCTGTCAAATCTAGAAACTTACAGCACATCCATCTAGCAAAAAAATTGCCTAAGATTCAACACCTCATTTGGGATGGTGACATAGGTATCACACCTTGGTGAGATATGCGTTTTGAATGATCTCTAGAGAGCAACTAGACATGTTCGTTCTTGTTTCCTTTCCTACCCATTAGACATACTCTGCTGTTTATCAGCAAAATTATACTTACTTGAAAAGTTCATGAGACATTGTTGAGACAACATACAGCTTGAGATCTGCTGTAATTTTATCATTATCCTTACTGGTGTTTAATGTTTTGCTTGAAACTACTACAGCAAGCTTAAAAGCTGCTCATTTTGCTCTCGGGACAATTTTGATTAGCCTGGGTGGTACATGTACCCATGTGGGTTTGGTTTGGTTTCCTTACTTTTTCTTCACACACTGTATTTATTTTAAAATTTCCCTGCTATAGCAGTCTGTGCTCATTTGGGTCCTTTTAATAAAAATATTCCATAGAAAACTGTATTTGAAAATTAGCTTTAAGACCATCAGTAGCCTAAAAGCTTTGTGTAACATGTCATTTAGCTCATATAAAGCCTATGGCAGATAATGTAACGTTGTACAGGTGGGCTGAGCTATACAAACTGAATTGGTGTTTTAGTGGTTGAAAAGGGAAAATCTCAACAAAATACAAAATGTTTTATTAAATTAAAGTAATTTTTGAAGCACTGCTTCAGAGCAGAAAGCTCTCGTGGGTAAGATGGTTCCGTGCTCCCGGCCGGGAGCCAGGGACCCCTTTCCAAGGGCACTGTGCCTTCCGGGGAGGCTTTGTCACTCCCTACCAGCGCTGAGGCCACCCACACCGGGGCCCAAAAACACAACCGGTGTGGGAGCCGGGGTGTGAAACACCAATCCCCGCTCCGCTTTGCCCGAGGCGGAGGCGGCGAATGCGCTGGCCCGCTTACGACCCGTTTTGTCCGACGCAGTAACTACACGGCAGCGGCGAGGGCCGGGATCGCCGCCGCGGGCCGGGATCGCCGGCGCGGGCCGGGATCGCCGGCGCGGGCCGGGATCGCCGGCGCGGGCCGGGATCGCCGGCGCGGGCCGGGATCGCCGCCGCGGGCCGGGTTCGCCGCCGCGGGCCGGGTTCGCCGCCGCGGGCCGGGTTCGCCGCCGCGGGAGCGGCGCCAGCGCGGGGCCGGCCGTGAGTGGTGCGCGCGCAGCGCAGCCCCGCCCCTGCCCCGCCCCTCGCGGAGCGGCCCCTCGCCCCCGCCCCCCGCCGGGCCGCGGCCGCTCGGTTCCGCATCCGGCGTGGCTGTGTCACTTCCCGCTCACGCGGGCGCTCTCCCTTTCCCCCTCTCCCCGGACCCGGATGGTGACTGGCGGCGGCGGCTCCAGGGACTGTCAGTGAGCGGCTCTCCGCGGTCCTCTTGTCCTGAGGGCGGCGGCGGCGGCCGCGAAGATGGCTGCGGCGGCCTCCTGTTCCTCGGCGGCGGCGGCGGCGGCGGGGCCCGGTCCCGGTCCCGGTCCCGGTCCCGGTCCGGGCTCCTGCGAGTGGCTGCTGCTGCGGGACGGCTGCCTGCGCTGCGACGCCGACGGGCTCTGCAGCCTGTGCTACCACCCGGCGCTCAACGCCATCCTGGCCGTGACCGCGCGCGGCGCCATCAAAGTCATCGACGGCACCTCGGGGGCCACGCTGCAGGCGTCGGCGCTCGGCGGTGAGCGGGGAGCGGGGCCGCGCCGAACAGCTGTCCTGGAGGGCCGGGGCAGCCTCGGGAAGGAGCGGCCCGCTCGGCTCGGGCTCTGGATGCCGGAGGATCCCCCCGGCTTATTGTCAGCCCTTTGCCTTTTCTGGCCTGAAGGGCCTCCCTGCCCGGGGAGGTGGCGGAGTCGCCGTCCCTGGAGATGTTTAAGGAGAGACTGGACGCGGCGCTCAGTGCCGTGGTCTAGTTGACATGGTGGTGTTTGGTCATAGGCTGGACTCAGTGAACCTCAGAGGTCTTTTCCAGCCAGAGCCTCTGGTTCTGTGTTCCTACTCTTTGGGGCAGAGATGCTCATGTAGACAGCGTCCAGGCGTTTTACTTCTGTAAAGCATATTGGCATGGTTACTGAAAGGTTAAATGGGGTTAGAAGGCTGCAATGTATAGGGTTGTATTTTTTAATTTTGCTTTTGCTGGTGTTGTTGTAGATCATGTTACGTTTAACTTCCAAAGATTAGAAGCAGCATGTTAGGCAGGACAGGCATAATTCTAGTACTTATTTATATGTGCTACTGTAATAATTTATTTACTGAGCAGTATTCTCGTTTTTTAAGAAGGCTTACTGCTTGAAAGTGTCATTTGCCCTATGGCTTAAAACTATTTAAGATAAGAATCCTTCATGAAGTTATTTGGTTATATGTTTTTGTATGTGTTTGAATAGTTCTTCAGGCTGTTGACTATCTTGACTGTCTCTGGTAGTAGAAACTGTATCCCTGCTATTATGTTCAGGAGTCATGATTGTGTATTGGCTTTGTAGAGGCCTAGACTGTAGCATCTCCATAACTATGAAGCAACTTTATTTGTTGACCATTAGTGTTTTTGCACTGTTAATAAACTAGCTCTGTAGAAAAAGATCCAAATGCCATTGACAGCTTTTGTTCCTTGTTCATTAATGGCTTTTAAACTGTGGCACTTGTCAGAATATTGGCAGTGAGTGGTGGGTAGGGTTATTTGTCTCCTTGTGAGTGCAGCCCTTGGAATAGAAAGATAGGCTTCTTACCAGTTGTGCTTCTTACCAGTTGTGTGCCTCCATGTTCAGGTTCTCCTTACAGTTGTGCGTTGCTAATAAGATGTTGCTTTGCTGAGTGGTGGTGGTGAAAGGTTGTTTGCTGCCTGAACGTGGTACAGTAATGCCAAGAAGTGCATGGAAATGCCATAGCCTAGGCAATATGTACACTTTCACCTTGAAAACCAGTAACTGTATTGCAAATGTCAAACTGAAGAGAACGGACAAAAATTGCTGATTTCCTTTCATAACTCAAAGTTGGTACATTGTATGTAAGGTTAAGCATTTGGGACAAATGAAAAGAAAAAAGTTTTGTGGAATTATTAAGAAGGTGCCAGCTGCTTTTGTTGTCAGTTGCTTGCATGGAGAATGAGGCTCTTGTGTGGTGTTTCCCGCATTGTTAAGGATTCAAATCACTCTGCTTCTATAATTCCCTTCTACCATGCTGTCTCCTAAAGTGCTTTTTTGATTAATAACTTTGCTTCTTTTCTTCAGGCTACTGCAGGAA